CCGCCTCCCTTTGCCCGGGAAGAGCCCCTAACTCACCCGGGGCACGTCTGGCTCTCCCCTCGTCAGTTTCCCGCAGGCTCTCCGCCTCCTGCGGAGCCCCAGGGGTTAAGGAGAGCGAGTGCGGCGTCCTAGAGCAGCAGGCATTTATGATGTCTTTCTTCTGGCCTCCCCTACAAAGGCAGCCGTGACGTTCGCCCTCCAGTGGACCAAAGGGGAAGCGCCGGGAGTTCCCTTCTCTAGCGGAGGGCGCCCCCTGGTGGCTTTGCCGCAAAGTGCCAGGATTGTAGAAGGGGCGGGAAAGAGGAGCGCGTCTCAGGGGAAGAGAGAGGGCGGGGATGATGGGCTTGGGAGTAGGAGGAAAGGCCCCTCTCAATGTCTCCCTGCCCGACAAAGGCTCTGACGTCTCCAGAGGCTCCCCTTTCTCCATCTTCCTCTCATTCCTTCCAGGAACCCTCTGTGGGGATGGAGAAAAAAATATATATCTCTGGGGGATTTGAGCTAGCCTCCCTCAGGAACAGCAGCCCTGAAGACTAGGGAGAGATTTGAGGAGGCCTCAAAAGGGACCAGATCCTGTCAGAAACAGCAGGGTGGTCAGAAAAGGAGGACTAGGAGGCTCTTTAGGAAACACAGTTTATGTCTTGCGATTGCTGAGAACTCCGGCCCCATGGCAGGCAGGAGTAGCCCGGGAGGGCAGCCAAAAGCAGTTCTGTCAGGAGGACGAAGAGCCCCCAAGAGTCACTTGTGCCAATTGCTGCGAGTGGTGTGCCGAAAGTGAAAACCAGAACTCGCCCATATGTTTTGGAAGGAGATAAAAATAAACCCTGCAGTATCTTGCAGCGTCGTGCAAACCCGAGTACGGGAAATAGCAGCTGTGCCTTCCCTTTTCTAAAACATGCCAGGATGTGATCGGAATAAGACCTGGGTTGACCTGCTACTGAAATGCCTCCTGGTTCTCTCTCCCAAAGGGAGGGTGGCTATTCGCTACATTTCACCACCTTCTGTAGTCCAAGGAGCAGCAGGGTGAGTCCTGCTTTTCGCTCTCGACATGCTCGCTCCTCACTTGCAGCAACTGGGACTGATGCGTGTGGCACTGGCCGGCCTGAGGAGAAGGGGCTGCAGCCAGTACATTGTTCCGAGGCCCATTGACGGGGAATTTTTTATTAAAAATTTACATAAGCAAATTTTTAAATATATATACTTTATACCCATGATGGCAAACCTATGGCACATGAGTATATGTGCCCACATGACTCTACCGTGCATGTCCGCGTGCCTCCCGCTGGTCAGCTGATTTTTGGATCTCTGCTGTGCATGCGGGAGACAGGTGCATATGTGCAAGGGGGTGTGCCCCCCGTTCTCTATTTTTTGTCCCAGGAGGCTTCAGGGAGGCCTGCTAGGGCCAAACCTGGCACATGTGCTAGGGGCGGGAGGAGTGGGGGACGCACATGCATGGGGGGTTGTGCATGCATGCGCATGGGATGGGGTGAATTGTATTATGGGTCTGGGCAGGCAGGTGCTCTGTCACATGCACACTTACGGTAGGTGAGGACAAAAAGGTTAGCTATTTATATTTTGTGTGTGTCACAGCTCCTTCACTTAATAACCAAGAAAGAAACCACTCAACTCCATTTTGCAGAATTAAGTGTACTTTTACTGATTATAAGTAATGAGAAGCTAAGCAAATCTGGATCTGAGTAAAAAGGCGCGAAAGCATTAGATATCAATACAGGATTCATCCCCTTCCCCTTGGTACCCCAGTCCATAGTCAAATCGTATATCTCCACAGCTGTCAGGTGGGAGACATCTTCAAAAAGCATCATCAGGTGGGTATGCCGGACAGTTGGCCTTGGCGGGAAACTCCCCTCCTTCCACATGCGCAAACGAATGGTGAGAACAACTTCCAATTAACAGTCCTCCTGTACAGATTATTTCCCTCACCCAAATACCATGCCCTCCCTCTGCGTTTCAATGGCAGCCGAAAAGCAAGCAGCAAAACAGAGGCTGACAGTGTATATAGCAAAACTGCATTGTATGACATAGTCTTTATTAATCTGAAACTCAGTGAAGTTATTTATGTAATTTATTGAATTTTAATTTCATTACTTATTACCGTATTTTTCAGAGTATAAAACGCACCTTTTTTCCTCAAAAAAGAGGCTGAAAATCTGGGTGTGTCTTAAACACCGAATACAGCATTTCTTGCCTCCCAAAACTCCGCTCCCTTCACCAAAATGGCCGTGCATACACTTATGGAGGCTTCCAGAGACCTCCTTGGGGCTGGGGAGGGCAGAAAAGAGCAAAAAAAGGGGCCATTTTTTGCTACCCCAGCCCCCAATAGCACTCTATAAGCCTCCATAAGGCTATGCATGCAATTTTTTTGTCAAAAAATGGGCCCGTTTTTTGTTGTTTTGCTAACCCCCGAGCACTCTGCAAGCCCCCCCCAGGCTATTCATGCTTTTTTTGGGAAGAAAAAAATGGGCCCATTTTTGTAAAAAATGGGTTGTTTGGGGGAGGTTTGCAGAGTGCAAATTTTTTTTTCCTTTCCAAAAGCTCTTTGATTGATGAGAATTACATTGATCAAGTGCTGTGCCAGCAGAAACACCTACCTACTTTTTTTCTCTCTATTTCTCTCTCTCTATCCCTCTACCTACAGTACCTACCTACTCTGTCTCTCTCCCTACCTACCTACTGTATTTCTCTTTCTCTTTCCCTTTATATACCTACCAACCTAACTACTTTCTCTCTCTCTCCCCATGTACTGATTTCTCTATTTCTCTCTATATATATATCCCTCTACCTACCAACCTACCTACTCTCTCTCCATACCTATCTACTGTTTTTCTCCATCTCTATTTCTCTCTCTCTATCCCTCTACCTACATACCTACCCATCCTATCTCTCTCTATTTCTCTCTATCCCTTTATCTACCTACCTACCTAACTACTCTCTCTCTCCCTACCTACCTCTATTTCTCTTTCTCTCCCTCTCTATCCATCAATCTACCTACATACTTTTTAAAAAAAAATTGCTTCTTCAAAACCTTGGTGCGTCTTATACTCCAGTGCATCTTATACTCCGAAAAATACAGTAATTTAAGTTGGCAAATTCAGTTTCATTTCATTTATGAATATATTTTATGTTTTATTTCAGTTTATGAATGGTTATGAAATGTCATCTCAAAAATCTGGAGCTCAAAAATGGAAGGAAAAATAGAAACGTGTGTCCATGTGTAGGTGAGGGGCCGCATATTAGTCTTGTTCCAGCACTTAATAATCCTCTTGACAATCCTGGGCACTGGCAGTAGGCAGAGGCAGGGAACCGGCCACTCAGTATACAGCAGCCACTGCAAGCACATTTCAGGCAGCTGCTGCAAACACACTTTGGGAGAGATTCAGGAAGTGTTTCAAAAGCAGGGCAAGCCGTGTCTTATTCAGATCACATCCCAACATGTTTAGGGAGAAGGCGCAGCTGCTATTGTCCTGGATGTGATCTTTATAACACCTAGTATTGAAACACTTCACAAAAAGGGGGCAACAAACACAAAGGGCAAACGGACTTGTGGCACTTCTTTATTCAGGCGCTGCTGCTGACTTGGAAGGAGAGGCTTTTACACTTGCACAATGTGTCACTCAAGAGGTCTCGTGGCGAGGCAGGTGAGCCACTTAGTTTCTCACCCGGTCTTTGGTTCAGCCCAGCCTAGCCCTCCATTCAGCAGCTAATGATAAGGGGCTCACTCGCCTTTCCACGAAGAATCTCAGGAGACGCAGCATGCAAATCAAAGCATACTGCTGTGAGGCCGGGTGCCCTTTCAGTTTGTTCCCCCCACCTCTCTCTCTCTCTCTCTCTCCCCTCTCCCTTCCTGGGAACTGCAGGGGAGGGGAAGGGCAATCAAGGAGACGCTGTGCCAAGACACTCCCAGGAAAAGGATGAAACGGGCCCACTACCAGAGCCCAGGCGCTGTTGTGGACTGGATCGCATGCTTCCTCCAAACCCGTGTTTCTGCTGGTGTTGCTGCCGTGAGGTGAGGCAAGAGGTGGCACAGGGATGATGCCTTGCCGCGATCCCTGCGCTCTCAACCCCACTATCCAACCTCATCCTCCAGCTCCACTGCACGCTCACATGTAAAGACAGATGGTGGGATAGATTAGGTCCTCACTGAGACACCTCTGCCTCCATTTGCTGCTTGGAGGGACTTGGCTGCACGGGCTACAGGTACTTCTGAACACCATTGGCCCCTGCACATGCAGCCACCTGTGCTGGCCAACACTCACCCACCCACTGATGAACTAGGGCTGAACTACAGCTTGATTTGCAGATAGGGTTTATGTTGCAAGCACTATGAAAAATCACGCTATGGCTTATTTTTGGAATAGGTCTTATTTTGGGGAAAACGCGGTAGGAAGCTGTTGTGGCCCAGCAGGAGCCGTTGGAGCTGCCACCAGACTCCAACAGCAAGGGGCCCTATGAGTCGGCCCTGGAGGATGTGGAGGACCCTGGACAGGGTTCCGATTCCGAGCAAGGCGCAGAGAGACTGGTTGGCCACTAGGTGGCGCCTAAGCCTTGGATCAGTGGGGAGGAGACAAGGGAGAGTGGTCCAGAAACCAACATTGAGTTGTTCCAGGATGCACGCCATCAAAGAGCTACTCGGCGTCAAGAACAACTACATAATTACAGGAGGTAATTGCGCTCAGCTGATGGCCATTAGGCTCCTCTTCAGACT